TAACCCATGGGTCAAAGAAGAAAACACAAAAGTAATTTGAAAATATTGAATTGAATGAAAATAAAAACAAGACATCAAAATTTGTGTGCTGAAGATAAAGGAATACTTAAAAGATAATTTCTTTTCTTTTTTTTTTTTTTTTTTGAGACAGAGTCTCACTCTATCGCCCCAGATCATAGCATCATCATAGCTCACTGCAACCTCAAACTCCTGAGCTCATGGACTCAGGTGATCCTCCTGCCTCAGTCTCCTGAGTAGCTGGGACTACAGGTGCATGCCAAGACACTGGCTAATTTTTCTATTTTGGGTGAAGACAGGGTCTCGTTCTTACTCAGGCTGGTACTGAACTCCTGAGCTCAAGCAATTCTCCTGCCCTGGCCTCCCAGAGTGCTAGGATTACAGGCATGAGCCACCCACTGTACGTGGCCTTAGAAGATAATTTCTAAGATTAAAATGCTCATATTCGAAAAGATGAAAACTTCAAATAAATTATCTTATTTTCCACCTAAAGACACTAACAAAAGTATAGCAAATAAAACATAATAAAACATAAACAGAAGAAAGAAAATAATAAAGATAAACGTGGATATCAATGAGCCAGCTGGAAATTAGCTAGCCACCTCTATTGAAATAGTCTCAGGTCTTCTTCATGTGGTCTCTGGTCCATATAAACATTGTCTAGGCTTCCTCACAGCATGGAAGCTTCAGAGTAGCTGGACTTCTTACACAGCAACTAACCAAGGAGATGAAGTCTGCATTACCCTTTATGACCTAGCCTCAGAAATCACAAGGGACCACTAATGTCACATTCTATTGTTATAATCAACTCACAAGCTTGCCCAGATGCAAGGGGAGGAGAATTAGAAGTCATTGCTTAATGAGGTAGTGTTAGGGTTCTATTAATTAAAAAATATGGTAAAGATGATATTGTTGTAGCCATCTTTGAACAATGTAATCCACACCATAGATTCAGGTTACATATAGTACCATTTTCCTTTAACTTGAAAAACTATGTTTTATATTATTTGTTGTGGTATAGATCTTCTGGTGACAAATTCTCTCAACTTCTGCTTATTTTAAAATGTCTTTATTTTACTTTTATTTTTAAAGGATATTTTCATAAGGCAGAGTGTTACGTTGGCAGATTTGGTTTTGTTTTTCTTTTAGCACTTTAAAGACATTGTTCTACTGCCTTCTAGTTTGTACTGTTTCTGATAAGACACTGACAGTAGCTCTTATCATTGGTCTTCATTTTGTATTATGCCCTTTCTTCTTTGGATGCTTTAAAATTTTTCTGTTAATTGTTGTTATTTAGCAATCTAACTATAATGTGCCTCAGTGTGGTTTTCTTTGTGTGTTATCCTGCTAACGTTTTATGAGCTATTTGAATCAGTGGGTTAATATTGCTTCTCAAGCCTCGAAAACATTCAGCTACAGTCATGCATTATGTCCACCTTATCTTTTAAATTATTGAATATATTATATTAAATTTTCTAAAGACTCTGTAATTTACAACACATTTGTTATCAGTGGGTCTCTTTCTATTGCCTGTTTTTTCTTCTGTTATGGATCACATTTTCTTGTTTCTCTTCATGTCAAATTTTAGCTTTGTGCTATAAAATTATGGATACGGTGGTTGAGAGTGTGGAATTTGTCTTCCTCTTCAAAGACTGTTGAGTTTTGTTTAGAAGGCATGTATTATAATATATTGGCAGAGTAGCTGTATCTTGTCAAGTCTTGTTATTAGGTTTTGTTAGCGTGGATGAAGAGTAGCTCTTGGGGGTACTAGCCAAAATATGTAACAAATTCAAAGAATTAAATAGTAAGAAAAGAAATAATTCAATTTATCTCTGGAATCTTAGTTTTCTCTTTTTACTTAAAATTGCTTTGGCTATACGAGGTCTTTTCTTGTTCCATACAAAGTGAAGAATTATTTTGTAATTTAGAAATGGGCAAAGGAACCAAATAGATATTTCTAAAAAGAAGACACAGAAATGGCCAACAGGAATATGAAAAAAATCTCAAAATCATCAAGGAAATGCAAATTTAACCCACAATGAGATATCATCTCATACTTGTAAGGATGGCTATCATCAAAAAGACAAAAGATAACAAGTCCTGGCAAGGATGTAGAAAAATGAAAGCCTTGTGTATTGTTAGTGAGAATGTAAATAAGTACAGCCATTATATAAGCGCATGAAAATTCCTCAAAAAAGTAAAAATAGAACTACCATATGATTCAGCAATGCCACTACTGGGTATATATTCAGAGAAAATGAATTAAGTGTGTCAAAGAGATATCTGCACTGTTCATTGCAGCATTATTCACAGTAGTCAATATAGGTAATTGACCTAAGTATTCATCAACTCATAAACAGATAAAGAAAATGTGATATTTATACACAATGAAATATAGAATATTATTCAGCCTTAAAGAAGAAAGAAATCCTGTCATTTGCAACAATGTGGATGAACCTGGAGGACATTATGGTAGGTGAAAAAAGCCAGGTACAAGAAAACAAATACTGTATAATCTCGCTTATTATATGAAATCTAAAAAAGTTAAATTCATAGAAGTAGAGAGTAGAAAGGTGGTTATCAGGGACTGGGGGTGAGGTTGGGGAGATGTTGGTCAAAGGATAAAAAATTTTAGTTGGATGGGAGAATCAGAACAAGAGATCTATTACATAACATGATGACTATACTGTGTTTCCCTGAAAATAAGACCTATCCATAAAATAAGCCCTAGCAGGATTTTTAAACATTTGCGCAGTATAAGCCCTACTCTGAACATAAGACCTAGTGATGGGTATGGCTATGCAGCGTGTCTGCACAAGCAGAGCAGTAAAGAAGACGAGCAGCCCTTCTCATCTGCCCCATCGTGACAGCTACTATCCCAGAGGTGACCAGAAAGGTGTGGGCAGCCCCCCCAACAAGGTTGGCTCCCCCTGTCGGGTCCCGGCCATCCTGTGTGTGCTGCAAGCTAAGGCTTTGAGGAGAAAATAACACATCCTCTGAAAATAAGCCCTAGGGTGACTTCTTGAGGAAAAAATAAATATAAGACCCTGTCTTATTTTCGGGGGAAACATGGTAGTTAATAACAATATATTAAATTCTTGAAAATTGATAAGAAAGGAAAATTTTAAGCGTTTTTTATCACAAAGTATGTGAAGTAATACATACATTAATTAGATCAATTTATCTATTTTACAATGCATACATATTTCAAAACAACATGTTGTATATTATAAATATATACAATTAAGAAAAAAAAAGAGTAGCCCTTACTCGAGAGCTTGAGTAGCATTCTTAAGACCTAACCTTCCATGGTTTCACTGAATGCACAAGATGTTTAGCTGGTCTCTTCTCTCTGGTTGGTCAGAATTGCAATATCTACTAATACTCAGTGACCTTTAACATCCACATCCATCTCACAGACCTCCAGGAGCTATTCTGTGCCAATCCTCACAGAGGTTCATCCTACATATGGTAACTAAATATTTGAACAAGGCATTAAGGGCTCTCTAATGCCAATTTCTAGAGTTACTTTTCTGAAACAGCTCCCTGCTCTCTGGTAACCTGCCCAACATACAGGACATATATGTTAATCTTGTTGTTGTTGTTTTCCTGTGTGAAAACACTGCCTTTTTTGGGTTCTACTTTGCTGCATTGCTGTTTAGATAATGTCCCCAGATACAAAGCCAGGGAGAGTGAGAAGCTTACCTTTTATGTTTCCCCTTTTCTGAAAGATCACAGCCTTGTGCTGTCTGCTGTCCAATGAATGATAGGACCTGCTTCATCTAATTTATCCAATTTTACAGCTGTTTATGGCAAAAGAGTGATTTTGATACCTTTTACTCTGTGATGGTTGGAAATGGAAATCCCTATTAGTACCTGTTTTAATTAAAAAGAGCATGGCCAATAAAACCTTAATTTCCAGCCATCAAAGGTATCAAGCAAGGGAAACCAATAAGTAGTTAAAGTAAAAAGGTGGGGTAGGGGTGTCATCAAACTCATGTAATTTTCCACTATTTTAATTTTTTTATCAGAAAAAAATTCCAGAAGTCACATCATTTTCTTATCATTTTCATTTCTCACTGACACCATAGTGAACACACAACACTCTTCCTTCCTCCCTAACCAAAGCCTAATTTTGTGTTCAACCCTAAGTGGACAATTCACAATGAGTCAGTTATACCAATATTGACGCTCTTCTTTTACTTTATCAGACATTGAATCTCCCAGCCTTCTTTAGCGCTAGAAGTGACCATATGACTGTGTTTTGATCAATGAGACAATCAGGGAAGTTTGCTATGGATCTCTTAAAATGGTTTTTATTTTCTTAATAAAAGGAATAGGTGAGGCCATTCTTGTCTTGAATGTGGGTCTCTTCTGATTACAATACATATGAGAATCAAAAGTCCACACTCCACAGCAAAAGAGACAAAACAAAAGAGGCTGGGTCCTTATCACTAAGCAACTAAATCAATACAACAACTAATCAACCCGAAGAAAAATAAAACTTATTTGCTTGAAGTTGTGTCAAGTTTTCTGTTTCCCATAATAGAAAGCATTTCTGATTAATGTACACACCATTTGTTCTTAAGATTAAGAAGAGTTTGTAGATAAGATGTACTTAGTTTTAAAATAGAATATTGAAAGAAAGTTGTTGGGAATCGTATTTTTTTGAAGTTTTTGGGCCAATGAAGTTTGCTTTGGTGTCTATAAAATGCTTGCCTGCCTTATATTCCCTTTTAGATTACAAACTTCCTTGTGGCCAGGGATCTTCTCTGTTCTAAATATGGGTCTAAAGACTTCTGGGTGCTTGAAGTAGCTTCCTGATAGACTCTAATTCTAAATGCCCTGTAAGTTATCTTTATCATCTAGGTATTGTTTGACTCCATCAGGAACAAGGGTTCTACAGATCTAAAAAAAATTTTTCCCCCAGAAGTGAGAATGCAGGTAAGACAAACAAGCAAAGGAATGGTTCACTGTCTTACGTTCACATTCTCTGACATCCAGGTTGAACTGCTGTAATGCTCCCAAGGTGAGCTGTCTTACTTCAGCTTCCAGCAAAAGTTGCATCAAGGATGTGGCTAAATGCTTGCAGGCGGACATACATGCTGTCTGAGCCACCTTTCCCTGAAATACAAGAGTGTAAATGATAAAGTTAATGAATATAATAAAATTCCAACAAAAATTAAGATACCTTCTTTTTTAATAAGGAATTTCTCTCAGGCTCTCCTTACCATGATACCGTTGTAGTCAGATTATCTTAGAATTAAATATTAGCTCCTCACCATTAGTCATGATAGCTATAACACTAAGCTGATATTCACATAGCCCAGCTATTTAGTCAATAAACACTTTTTTTCTCCTAAATTGAAAGTAGATATACAATACTTAAAATCTTAAGTACACTGAGAAAGAATATTTTATAGGGAATAAATTTCAGATTCCCTTTCAAATACAATTCTTAAAAAGCAAATATAAACAATACTCCCTAACTTATCCATAAACCAGTGTTTACTGCTTATGATTTAACACATATAAAATGAAAAGAATGATTTAAAAGTTATCTGCACAAATAAATAAAAGCATAAATTTTGTTTTCTTAGAAAATACTGAGATTTATAAACATAAATGCTAATTTTTTAAATATGGATTTTAAAATTAATATTGTACTGTCTTCTGTAAAGGATTCAAAGTACTTTACATGTAGGGAATTACATCTTAGTCCCAAGTCAAAGTTACACATCAAAGAAGATATATCTACTTTTTCCCAGGTATACAGTATATCGACTTTATTCCTATGTTATGTACAATCCATTCTAAAAGAATGATATATGTTTTTAAAAGCCTGAGTTCAAATTTGTGAATTATCCTTCTGTTTTGAAATTATGAAATATTTCAGCCATACAAAAAGACATATAGAATCATACTATGAACACTTATGGATCCACTAAGCATTACAAATACAGTTTAAGCCCCTATGTGGTCTCCTTAATCATTTTCCTCCCTCTCCCCAGAGATGACCATTATTGGTATTAGGTATCCCATTTGCATTTTAAAAGTACTAATATGACAGTATATAACCACAAACAATATATTATTGTTCATATTTTGAAATTTTCTATAATATGATATGAAATATGGCCTTCTGCAACTTGCTTTTTCAGTTCAATATTATAAAGGTGAAGATTTTTTTAATGTAATGCATATACCTGTACTTTATTCCTCAAATTGTTTCATGGTATTCCTTTTTGGAAATATACCACAACTTATGCGGCCACTCTTCTGTAGTTGGAGATTTAGGTTGTTTCTTTTTCTTTTTTTAATTTAGCTATTATAAACACAGTAAGTTATAGAGTTATGTGTTATATGGGTCTATGAAAAGATCAAATGTGATCTCTTAGTAGTAGATCTCCTAGTAGTAGGCTTTCAATGGGAAAAATATAAATAAATAATACCACAATAAAAATTTTAATTTGCATCTTTTTATTTAGGATTATTTCTCAAACCCACTAGGATGTGGGGTATCAATACTGAGATTCATAATGCATATGCTTATATATGAAGAGAAACATAGGTAGAAGCCAGATTCCCAAGTATCTAAATTTTATAAATTTGTATTTCTTTGACAAAATCTTATTTTATAGTATAAAAATAACAATAATAATGACCTATTTTAGTATACATACTATAAATATTCCTCATCTGTTTGTATTTTATGATGATCCATACTCTGGATGATTTAAGACAACAAATGGGAATGCTTAAGTTAGGAAGTAATTTAGAGACCAAGTGGGAAAGAGGCAATGGAGACATAAGGAATCCTAAAGAGAAAAGTGACATTATAAAAGAAATCCACATTAAATAGCTTAGTTTCAACTAAACCCACTGGAGACTCAAGACAGGTACCTCCAAGGAGCAATAGGGTTCAACATAATTGTCAGACTATGCCCAGTGTGAACTCCCAGAAGGCACAGATCAAATATTAAATAGCTTATTAACTTTAATATTAACATGAAACATTGACTTAATTTTCAAGTCTACATTAATCAATAGAGCCAAAGATATGTGTGTTATATTACTCTGACATACTGGGTTATTTAATTGTCCTCCAATTACTTTCCACCCTAATTTCCCTCAAGTTAATTCTTTATTTCCAAACAAGCTATAATTGCAGAAATGTATGTTTTCAGTGTTAAATAGTTTCCTAATTCTGGACACCATTTTGGACCTTTGCTAATTCATACTCTACTCTCCATTCTCTTCCTCATTTCTGGTTTCCATTACTATGCTGTCCATAGACTTTCTAGGAAAGGATAAACACAGACTCAGGCAATAACAACCAACTGCCAAGCAATTGGTAAAAATTGGTGATTTTACCTTCTTAAGCAAGTAATCAAATATGGGTCAGACCCTTTCTAGGAGCTCACAAGCAAAATCTACAGGTTGAGGTAAGAATACAGAACATAAGAAAACTAACCTAACCAAATGTCCTATAAAATTGCCTTTGAATATCTCTAGGAACAGTTTCAAATCAGCCATAATCACACATAGGCTATATCTTATGAAGCTATGTTAGTACCAGGGCACAGAGACTGCATGAGAATGAAGACAGAATATCAGATAAGAGGAAAAGCGAGTTAAGTATCATCACCATATTTTGAACATATGGAGAACCTGTGATGCAGGGAGATTTGGGACACAAGATCTTACAGCTAGCTCTAGAGGCAATGCCATGCTGCCTGCTTCTCAATGCATTTATAATATTTATATACTCCAAGATGGTCAATAAATATCAACCACATGAACTGAAAGTCAAGTACCAAAGCACTATATAGTTCATACTATTTCTCAATTCAGTCACAAAATCTCTTGTAAGTTTTGGAAAGGGCCAATGAGTAAACTGATGAGAAAATTCATGACACTAATTCAAAGCCAGGCTATTACCATAGTGAGAACCATAATGAGGCATAAGTTAAAATTCATAAAAATTGCTCTTTGATTTTAACCATGTAACTCTGTGGTAACCAAATCAACTCACTTCCCTTAAAACATACCCCTGATTCATATACCCTAATTTTAGTTATCCCTTTTACTTCCTGTTTTCTCTCTATTTACTATTCTACATATTCAACTTACACCATAACACTTTGCACTGGATGATACAACACACTGAATGATACCATGCACTGTCACTTTATGCATGTACATTACCTTAAAAAGGACATGGTTTGCTCTTCAGAAAAATAAAAATGGACATATACTAAAACTTACAGGGTACATAAACAGCAATTTTAAGAGGAAAGTTTATAGTAATAAATGCCTACATCAAAAAAGAGGAAAGGGCTGGGCATGGTGGCTCATGCCTGTAATCCTAGCACTCTGGGAGACCGAGGCGGGAGGATCGGTTGAGCTGAGGAGTTCGAGACCAGCCTGAGCAAGAGCGAGATGCCGTCTCTACTAAAAAAATAGAAAGAAATTAGCTGGACAACTAAAAATATATAGAAAAAATTAGCCGGGCATGGTAGTACATGCCTGTAGTCCCAGCTACTCGGGAGGCTGAGGCAGGAGGATTGCCTGAGCCCAGGAGTTTGAGGTTGCTGTGAGCTAGGCTGACGCCACGGCACTCTAGCCCAGGCAACAGAGTGAGACTCTGTCTCAAAAAAACAAACAAACAAAAAAACAAAACAACAGGAAAGATCCCAAATAAACAACCTAATGCTACATGTCAAGGAACTAGAAAAAGAAGAATATCCTAAACCCAAACTGAGTAGAAAGAAGGAAATAATAAAGATCAGAGCATATATAAATAATATAAAGACTAGCAAAACAATAGAAAAGATCAATAAAACTAGCAGTTGGCTTTTTGAAAATATGAACAAAATTGACAAACTTTTAGCTAAACTAAGAAAAAAGAGAGAAGACTCAAATAAATAAAATCAGAAATGAAAGAGGAGACATTACAGTTAATGATACAGAAATGCAAAGATCATTAGAAACTATTATAAGCAATTACAGATAACAAACTGGATAACCTAGAAGAAATGGATAAATTCCTGGACATAAAATTTACCAAGATTGAATCATGAAGAAAAAAATGAGTAAATAGATTATATCAGTAATCAAAAACATCCCATCAAAGAAAAGCCTGGAACCTGATGGCTTCACTGGTGAATCTACTAGACATGTAAGAAGGAACTAATGCCAATTCTTCTCAAACTCTTGCAAAAAACTGAAGAGAAGGAACACTTTCAAACTTTTTTGGAAGGCCAGCATTATACTGACACCAAAGCCAGATAAGAACAATACAAAAAAAGGAAATTATGAGCCAATATACCCAGTAAACACAGGCACAAAAATCTGCAACAAAATATTGGCAAACTGAATTCAACAGCACATTAAAAAAATCATTCACCATGATCAAGTGGGATTTATCCCTGGGATGCAAGGATGGTTCATCATATGTAAATCAATAATTATGATACACCATATTAACAGAATGAAGGACAAAAACTATATGATCCAGGGTAGGAAGTGGCAGGTAAATAATAATGATAACAGTAATAATAATAATAATAAAACCCTATATGATTATCTCAATAGATGCAGAAAAGGCATTTGACAAAATTCAACGTGTTCTCATGATAAAAAAAAAAAAAAACTCTCAAAAAATTAGGTATGGAAAGAATGTACCTTAACACATTAAAGGCCATATATGACAAATCCATAGCTGACATCATACTCAATACAGAAAAGCCAAAAGCTTTTCCTTTAAAGTCAGGAATAAGACAAGGGTGTCCACTCTTGCCATTTCTATTCAATATAGTTTTGGAAAACCAAAGGACTCCACCAGAAACTGTTAGAAATAATAAACAAATTCAGCAAATTTGCAGGATACAAAATAAGCATATAAAAATCAGTTGTGTTTCTATATACTAACAAACTATCTGTAAAAGAAATCAACCAAACAATCCCACTTATAATAACTACAAAAAAAAACCTTAGGAATAAATTTAGCAAACGAGATGAAATATCTGAAATACATGTACACTGAAAAGTACAATAAATTACTGAAAGAAATTTTAGAAGATACAGATAAATGGAAAGATAACCCATGTTTGTGGACTGAA